AGAAATTCTTTGTTGGTGACAAAATAATGAAAACACTTAGCAAGAGAAACAGTAACCAAAGCACTTTAAAATTGCTTAATACCTTGTTCTTGATATAGATAAGAGGATAAAGAAAAGCATGCCACATATTAAATTATTACCTTATTAAGATACTCAAAGAGAACCTTCAGCATCTCCAGCATTCAGCGCCTGTTGCTTAGCACATGGTTTAAACTCTCAGGCACTAAGCATGGAAATATTTTCAGATGTCAAACTCCAGTTAACGTTGCTTTTCTCATTTTTTTTTAATTTTTATTTTCCCTTAGTGCTTCTTGTATTTATTTTCCCAGTACAGCTGTGATAATTAACATGCAAATGCATACCAAAAAATATTTGTTTTTTAAGGCAAGTTTCTCTTTGTTTGATGAGGAAAATTGCTCATTGCCACTTGTACTGATCGGAGAGGTTTTTATTACACCTTACTGCACCAGTAAATTGTGATGGGAAGTCATTGCTTTGTGACTACGGACATAGGCATGAAGTCTACATCCTGCACAAATTTAGCCATGGGAATAGTGATACGTGACCATTCTCAAGGAAAAGTTCCTAGTTTGCTCATCAGAGCTCAGGTGAAATTTACCAAGGTAGGAATCAATTGTAAATAACAACGGTTTTATGAAAATCAAATGATTTTATGAAAACCAGAGGTGGGTAGATGCACCCAAAGCTGTCTTTAGTTTCTTTACTTCACCAGTTCACCTTTTCACAGAAAGCCACACAGCATGCAAAACCATATTAAATAGGTATTTTGTATATGGAAGCAAATGTAGAGTGAGACTTATCTGAAGTTCCACTACCTAAGTTAACCTTCCTTCTAACACAGACTCGAGTGAATGAGTTTCACTGCTTTCAGGTAGTGTTTTGTGAAAATACAAATGGAGGCCACCTGAGCCCTCATACTAAACAGTGCTGGCAGTCTTTGCTTCAAATGAAGTCAATGGCAACTGCAGCTGCTCAAAACAGATGTATATTAGAGCACAGCAACAGCATTTTTCCTGGTATGTGTAATTATTGCTGAAGGAGATACATGGGAGACAACAATGTCTGGCAGAGGGAAGACTTTAATGAGAATAAAAAGAATCCTGGGCCAGATTCACAACAGTTTGCCTATAAAATAGCAGCCCAACCTGACAGTTGTAGATAAGAAAAACCTGAAATTATCATTCAGACATATAATCACATAATCTTATAAATAATGTGTCTTTAAGTAGCATCAATACCCGTTCAGGTCCTCATTGCTAAATTCAATGAATACTGAGAAAAGGTTTTCCACTGTGTAAACACAGCCCAAGTATATTCATCTCATCCTCTTAGCCAGTATTCTGCTGCTGTGTGTATAGTGGCACTCTTTTTTACCCAGTCAATTACATTAGGCAAACCAAAACAGATTTTACTGCATTATATAATTCAGGCTGTGTCTACTTCAGGGCTGCCAACAGTAAGAGCAAAAGCCCTTTCATATCATTTTGTCATAACACCACACTGGCTACAGTTCTAGTCGGTGTCCAGTTGAGAATAGCTGTCACTTGTGGATGGACAGACTAGATCTGGAGCAAGATCTTTATGCTTACATGTTTGGTGTCCTTAAAGTATGGAATAAGCCATATACGTAACACACTGTCGTATATAATAAACATTTCAACTGTAAAAGAGGTAAACGGAGAGAAAAAATTACAGCTATTGTATCACTGGTTTTTGCTTACCACAAGTCCTAGCACAAGGGTACGCACTCTCTCCCCAATCTCTGGTGAAATGTCATTGCCAAACTGCTGTAAGGTTGTAAGAAATCTCTTCAGTTTGCTGAGCTGCCTAGCTCCACAAGCTGGCGGTAACTGCTGGTTAGCCAGAGAAGAGGAAGAGGAAGAGGATGGCCCATTGCTAAAGCCATTAGGAGGAGATGGAGCTCCATTTAACGCTGTTGGTGAATGGCTTGTGCCATTGGTTACTGAAAGAGAAAGAGAAGAGAGGGTAAAATAAAGAGAAGGATGGAGAGAGAAGGAAGACAGCTTAAAATTTTCTGTGCTTGATCTCAAAATTAATTAAGTTGCATGATCAAAGATAATCAGCCTTCTGACAGAGCAACAGTCCACAGTTTAAATCCATTTCATAGTATCTGGTACTGAACACTGCATGGAGTGGAAGTAACAGTAGTCGACTGTCACACAGTCCCCCCAAAGAGCTCCCGAACCTGAAAAACATTATTTGAATACCACAGACAAACAATCAACAACAAAAAAGAGAGAGAAAGAGAGAGAGGGAGGAACAGAAAGAGAGAGAAAAGAGCAGGAGCACGTATATGAGTGAAAACAAAAAAAATTGTTCTTTGGGGTAGAAAAAAATGTGCAGACATATTTCATGAAGCCTCAGTTTATCTCTGAATATTTTTACTCGTGTTTTGTACACACAACTGACAGCTGTGTTTATAAAACAGGACTTGCATGTTTTAACCTTACACCACCCAATGAGAAGGTTATTTTTTCTGATACAGATTTCCTAGCTGCTAACATATGGAGCACACTAAGTTGTTTGTGCAGGTACAAATGGTGCCATCCTAGCTGTGGCCCAGAGCCTTGCAGCTAGGACACAAAACTACTAGAAGACTTCTCAGAGACCACAAGGAAATTACTCTGCTTTTCATGTCTCAGTATAGTATCTCTAAAAAGTATAGCAAAGCATTCTCTTCCTTCCAAGGTTGCAACCTTGACAACAACCATTTCTGGCCACTGTTTTAGTTTGACACTTATCCATACTCCAGAATAGAGCACAGAATCAAACTGAGGACATCTTTTTCCACCCAGGTTACAGCAGCACAAGCTCTTGAGTCTAACTAGGCAAAATGACAGTGAGTGACAAGCAAAACAATGGCTCCCTATGAACAAAAATGCACAAGTGCACTTGAAAACATGGGCAGGCAGCACACAAGTATACCAACAGCAGCTACTCAGCTGGCTATTGCCTTGGGCAAATTTGTTGGCTTCTGTTTAGGGAGTCAATTAGAAATCAGTTGTTCTGGTATCACTCACTTGGCGCAACCTGCCTCCCTACTCCAAAGCACCAAGACATGAGTTTACATCACTGCACACCGAAAGCCACCACAAATCAGGAACTTACCTACAATAAAAAATGCAGAATGATAATAGCTTAATTTGCTTCCTATTTGAAAGCATATGACAAGCGAACATCTTCAAGAACCTTTCATCTTTGTCAATGACTAACATCTTTGAAGGCAAACATCCCTTTCCTATTTGTCACTTTCTCCAACAGTCATCTTTCTTTTTAGAAAGTAACTCCTTTTTGAGGATGGACAAGTACTGATTATCACAACCCTTCTTTTAAAGGGGTTCTTACCTCAATGACTGAAGGGCCCTTTATGGTGGTAATACAAAAAGCAGCAATCTGAACAACTACCTAGTTTCTACAAGATTTTTTATCTAGTTTTGTTTGCCTCATCTAGTTGAGTGGTCTAGGGGAAACAAACTGGAAAAAGCAGAAATAGAAAGAAGCTGGCATCTCAAAGTTCAGCTCCAAGCCACGCTAAGTGCTGCAGTAGAGCGAGATACATGAGTAAACAAATATATGGTGGTTGCAAGGAAATTGCATAGCCAAACACATCATACCATGAATTCAGTAGATTAGGACAGGGAAGAATATGTCCTGCTCTATCCTGACACAACCTGATAACTCAGTCACTGCTCCTAGTGATGTGGCTAAGATCAAGAAAGCAGAGGACTGCAGAGTTCATTCTCTAGGACAGATATGATGAGGAGAAAGGCGGACCAAATTCTTCCCTCAACAAAATAAACAAAGAAATATTCCCCAAAAGCAGCTGCTTCAAAACAACTTGCATTTGGAATAGTCCACCCAATACTGATGATTTTATCTCTTTATAATGTCTGAATTTGCCAACTGGCAAAGACATCTATGTTACTGTAAAATATAGCCATGTTATTAATAAAACAGAATTTAGCATTTAGAATTTCAACAAACTAATATATTTTAAGAGTTTTCAATAGTCTAAAACAAAGCAAACAAGTGTACTCTTGACAAGAAAGCAAGTGTGCACTTCTTAGCCTACAGGCATTCTCACTGCAGAAGCAGTAAGTGTAACAAGCACTCAAACAGAAGTGGCTTTTTACTATCCAAGCTGGAACTACTACGGCTGAACTCCAAAATCTGACAGTGTAAAACACATTTAAAATTAGATCTTTAGACTTTTGGAATTCATAGAAATAGCCAAAACAACAGCAGCAAAAACAACCAAAAACAGCTATGGTTCACACACCTTCCAACAATATCCACAAAATCTAGTGAGTATACTCAACTGAGGACTGTAAGAAAAGAAAAGAACATGGTCTCATTCCTTTTATCACTTCCCAAGTTCATCCAGAACTGTGCTAAGCAAATTAGACTGAAAGGCTTAATCAGCAAGAGCCTCATCCAGCAAAAAAAAACTCAAAACAATTTAACTTCAGAGCAGTTCCTAGGATGATTCAGGTGCTGGAGTTAAACAAAACAAACAGATCTTTGCAAGATCAGGGTCACTGGGTTAAATCTGAGTTTATGCAAAGAGTTGGCACAAACGCTCCTCAGTGTTTAAGTCTGATGTAAATCCTCAGGACAGGGTTCACTGGGATAAGTGGTACAAAGGCTTCCAGCTGGCCTTCTGCACAGAGGTGAATTTTAAGAAAGGCATTTAACAGGCAGCAAGAGGCTAAAAAGATATAGGCAAGACAAATAGAAGATGCTGCCGTCATTCTGTTTAGGCATATGTATTCTACTGTTCTAAAAATGTTTTATTTAAAATGTGAAATGTAAACACATTCTCATGTTTATACTATTACGAGGCAGTAAAAAAAGAGACCAAAAAAAAAAAAAAAAAAAAAATTGCAGCTAAATCTTAGTAAGAGAAATGTGGATCATTTCATGACTGTGAAAAGAATAGTCCAGACAACATGCCAGATCACAATCTCAGTTATGCTGATATGAATGCAGAGTAACTCCACCACGACTGGTAGAGCTTCCCGTGTGTTTACATCAGCAAACTGAGACAGAGATGTGGTCCCAGATTAGGAATCTCAAGACAAAACAACAGAACGCCTTTATTTTTGTCTTTATATCACTAACTAGAAATTATATAGCACTTCATTCAATCATTAGTGGGATAAACTATATTCTTTAAGAATAACCCCCACTTTAAATATATAAACAAAGCCCTAAACAATAACTGCCAAATTTTATACGCAAAAGCGAACAGAATCCCTTAAATTGTACAACAAAACAGCATAAGTTTCCTGTATTTCTCAGAGGACTGATCTAAGCATAAATGACATAGGAAAGAGTGCTCTCTGTTCTTTGATGCTACACTCAAATATCAGGGAGATTACCACAGCTCAGAGCTGAACACCTTAACAGACTAAAGATGCATTAACCTGCTGTGATCTTACATTTGTTTAATTACTTATTGCAGTATCATCAAATGCTGCTGCAGCCCTTGCATGCAGGTTTTCCTTCACACCCTTTAGTTTCTTACATACAGAAAGAAAGAATACAGAAGAATAGGAAGAAAATAAGTCTAATTACACGTTGTGGGCGTGAATGAACTCGTTCTTGGAGCTCCTTGGGTAGTGGGAGGAGGTGGCATTGTTGGAGGCGTCAGCCTGGATTGTGTCTTCACATCCACAGGTGAGTCTGGCATTGTGGAATGCTTCTCAGTGCGATCTGTAACACACCACAGGAACACACTATTTTATTTCCCCAAGAACATCCACTCTGAAATAAAAGTTTAAAAGCAAAAGCAGGAAGTGAGCCATTTCAGCACCTGCCGCAAAAGATTACACCTGGTTGTCTATTCCAGTGTGCTCCTGCAGAACTGCATCATCTGAACCTTACTTAAGAAGGTGCAGCATAGGTGGGAAGACCTCATTTGTAGCACTGCTGTATTATCTTTTGTTTTTCATTTCTAGCACGTGCAGATGCTGCCTCCAAAGCACTCCTGGAAGTGCAATAATGCCACCTCCCTTCAATGTTAGCCAGGAGGAAAAAGGAGATGAAGAGACAGGAAAGTAATAAATCCCCTTACAACAATCCTTACAGGAATATAAGCAGAAGCTCTTTAGTACAGGTGAGATATTGGGTAGGATACTGGTTGAAAGCAGTTCTTGTCATGCCTTTGTAAGCAATGAGAGACACTTATGTTAAATACCAGTGCCTCCCGGATGACTTTGCCACCATGCCCCTGGATATTCTCACATTCCCATCAAGAATAAACACGTCAAAATGATAAGTCAATTGCCACACATACATACATTTAAAAAAAAAAAAAAAGCATAACATTTTTAAGTTTACATCTTTACACATTAAGAACAACTTTAATGTTCAAAATCTGTAAGACATGAAAAACAACAACAAAAGGAAAAACAGGCAGAAAAGGAAAAACAGTTCCCTTGCAAGGAAAGAGCTAGCAGATATTTTATATACATGCTACAGAAACATCTTTTTGGATAATTCTGTGTTAAAGTTGATGTGGGGAAAAAAAAAAAAAAAAAAAAAAGATAAATAAATAAACAGGAATATAAAACCATCCACATCTTTGTGTTTCATTTATCAAAAATGGGCAAAAAACGACAACATTTACCAGCAGACAGCAAATGTAACACAATAGCTTAGTGGGCCATCTTGAGTGAAAATGAAGCTTAGCTTTAAATGGGCATGAGTCTCACATCCCTTCTTCTGGGGTCAGGATTATAGTTTTGTTTTTTACAGACTGTCTTATACAAGGCTTCATGTGCTCCACTAAACTGTGTAGCAAAACAGTGTCACTGATATTGCGTTAAAGATGAATTTGTGGTTTCGATTCACAACAATGGTAAAGTCAGGAATGATTTACAAATTCTGCTGCTTGACTTTGAGAAGGTACATCTTGTTAGAACAGAGAATAAAGTTCACAGAAAAAAAAAACCAACAAACATCTAAAATCTTGCATGTGAGAGAGTAAATGCACTTTATGAAGGAATAGTGTGTTTTTAAGAGCCTCAAAAATTTAATTATCAGAACTTTCATTTATCGGACGAAGAGGGAGAGAAAACGATGAGGAATACAGGTACAGGAGAAAAGGATCTGCAGTTTGGATCTCAGATTAGCAAACCTCGGTAGCATAGGGAACAGAATCCAAAATCCAAATATTAAGCCTCACGCACAGGTAAGGTTTGATTTGCAAATCAAGAGATAGTACATTACTACATGCTGAAAAACAAAGGTAGGTTTTAAAATATATTTCTATACTAAATTTCCTTTCCATATCACTCCACTCAAACAGTTAAATCTATATCTTCAACAAGCCATTCATTTAATATAAAGAACTACAAAAACTAGTCTTGAAACGTTAATTGCTTCCTTAATAGCTGAATTCATCTCGCACTCACCTCAACCAACCTCAGCAACAGGGGAATAAATAGCTTTCAGCTCATGTTGCAACAGAGGGAAAGAGGCACAGCAGTAAGCCTGAGCCCTCCTAAATAAAGGCAAATATTTCTGCCATGCCAAGAAAGGAGAGAGAAAGGGAGGCTTGCCAGAGCTGGTGGGGAGATAACAGTGGGAACTGCTGGTCCATCTGGTTTTCATTCTGCTAACACTCACGCTGAACTGTTAAGGAAGGCAGTCCAGGTACACAGATTTGAAGCATGTGGGAGCGCAGACACAGGCAGGGAGGAGATGGAGGTGGGTGGAAGAAAGAGTGAGAGAAACCAAACTCCGCTCAGCTGCTGCTCGCGCCGAGCAGGCACAGGCTGTATCCCACAGCTCAGCTGCTGGGAACTAAAAGCGAGCTGAACCCAGCACCGTAACCAGCCGCACCTCTCCTGCTCCCGATCCGCATTGTTCCAGAGTTAGGTCTGTTCCCAAAGGCTCGGATCAGAGGGGGAACACTTTTCCCAAGAGCTGGAGATATTTTGTTACTTAAATTGAAAGCTATAGTGGGAAACAGTGTGTGGGTTGGCTCTCCAACTGCAGATAGTTACCGCTGCCGTCAAACTGGTTTTATTCCCTTCAACACTGTCTGCTGCCCCATTTGCAGATCACTGGCATTATCGTTACTTTTCATATACTTCTGCTGATATTAGGCTTTACTTTTTCTAATCACCTTTCTCTGCGAAGAAACAGACAAACAAAAACAACTCGACAGGCCACTGACTTCTAATTAGTCCCCTGATCCCCTGCAAAGCCATACAACCCATCCTGCTACTGTACAGTGGCAAACATTTATTTCTGCTAGTCCATAAGCACTCCAGCAAAGTGTTCTGTAAGGAGATAAAAGACTGCTTTCAAGCTCATCACAAAACACTTCAAACCAGGGTACCATATTGTCTTGTCCGAATAGAGAGGGGGAGAGAGGGGGGGAAAGGAAAATTTTGTATAAGTATGGTATAACATGCAAAGCTTTTTCATGTGCTTGGAATGCTTGGGGGATATCACCAGCACTACACAGCCCTGGAAAGCATCCTGTCCCACTGCTCTCTCATACTTCCCATCCTTCTAGCCTCTTCAGTAGAAAAGCTCCTGCAGGAGCCTCTCTGCCCTTTCTGCTGGTGTTTCTCTGCTCCTCACCTCTGTGACAGATTCCCCAGCTCCTGCAGAAGATGCACATCACTGCACTGGATGCTCTGCACCCACCTCTATCCCAGCACACAGCTTGGAGGACCTCAGCTGCTAAAGAAGGCTTCTTGGAAATGGAGTGGTGAAGGAGCACACAGCAGACAGAGCTGCCACTCCCTGTCACCTGAACTCACAAAGCTTGTCATGTCTGAAACATAGCCTAGAACCTCACCTCCTACAAATCATTATTAATTTAATTTAAAACAAAACAAAACAATTTTGTTAACTCTAATTGTTGAAAAGTAGCCTGAAAATATGCAAGCTAAAAATCAAAGCAGTATTTAAATTGTATTTATTTGTGAGCCAGGTTGCCCCTAAACCTTGTTATATGAGAGGTTTCACATTTTTAAGAGCAGCTCTCTGTGGTTATTCTGCTAACTGTATATTCAGAAGTGATGAAGGGATGGGAGGGATAGAAGGAATCCTGCAAAAGGAAAAACTACATCATTTATGAGTGAAATCCTGCCTGTCCCAGACTTCAGGTACATTTGCTCTCTAACACAGGAGCATATTCCTTGAGCTTTGCCTAAAATTTAGAAGAGCTTTAAGGGAAACATCTCTTAAAATCACTTAATTTCTTGCATTCCAAATATGTTTATGTTCTCGTGTCAAAACAAACTCTCCATTTGCAAAGCGGGCTTTGCTATTTTTTCTGTTGGAACCTGACATTTCAAATAATAATCCCAAATTAGGAGAGATGTGACAGAAAGTTTCTCACAACGTCACCCATTTCAGAGTGCTGGCTGCATATATGGAGACAGTAACTTGTTTCAGATGCAAAGACTTCTTCCACAGACAGAAACCTTCTAAGCAGTGATGGAGTCAGACTCCTTAGCCTAGTTCTCATAAAACTGGGCTGAAACCAGAGGTCCTCCAAACCAAAGAGAAAAGGAGACATCTGCAATTCATTCTTCACTACTCGCTGCAATCAATTCAGGATGGAGATAGATGGTGAAATAATGGGCTAGTCCTAATCCATACACACAACCCTCTGGTGCAGTGAGAGACTTAGAATAAATTCAGAAAATATGTTTCAAGTATGCAGAGATCTATTGCATTTGCTTTGGATTATACTGAAAAAAAAATTCTGAAATATACATTCTTGAATCTCTTTTACAGCAAAGAGTGAAGACTGTGACTTTACCACAGAAATATTTTGCTCCATTTAAAATTAAAGAATGCTGTAAAACCAGCTTTAAATTACGATATTTCTTCTGCGGATTTCTTGGTTCGTGAAACCATACAGTTCTTGTCATTCATACAGTTTTTATGGGAGGAGTTATTTTTATCACTATTATTTAGATGTTAGGTGAATGTTGATATTTACTGTAAACCTGGCCAACTTCTGAAGGCAAATGCGGAAGACGCAAAGTAAAAAGTGCAAGAGCATGAGCAAAAAGAGATGTGCATGTATTCAAGCTGATTTACTTTACTTCCTGTAGGCTCAATGACTTAAGTCCATTTTTAAAACAAGGCAGTCTTTCATATACGGCAACATTTCAGCTCACGTGGCACGCTTCCAAGTCTAACGCATCAAGGAAAGCTGATGTATGGAACAAAATATGGAATATATAAATACTTTACTGATACCATTTCAATAGCCAATTCAATGTCAAGCATTTCAAGGGGTGGTGTGTTTTCAATTTCCTTTTTTAAATGAAAAAAAGTATGGTATAATATGCTGTGGCATTTATTTTACTTTTAGTTAGTGCAAACAGTTCCAGATGTATATCCCAGGCATGAAAGATTCTTAAAAGACGCTCTATATTGATTGTACAGTACTCGCTACTTCTGTGCCAACACATTAAAAATAAGAATGAAAACCTGCCAAATTAGAAGCGTCCATTGTCCTGTTCCCTTTAAGCTCACAGAAATTACAAATCCTTCATGTGACACAAGATAGAACCTGCCCCTGCTTCTCAAATTATATAAATTGAGACCTAAATCTGTACCATTTAAAAGTGAAGGTTGCTATTGAGTTGACGCTGGACTTATCCTGAATGTTTTGAGTGTGACAGCATAGAGTTTGCAAGCAGATAACAGACTTTGAGTCCCAGAAGTCTCTATCC